CAATGGTTAAGGATAAATCACGACAACTGTAATTTATTTCCTGGATTATAGAAAAATATTGCATAAAAAAATCAAGATATTTTCAACAAAACATCATCGATTTTATATCAATGACATAAACTTTACTAATACTATTTGTTGCATCTAAAATGATAACTCATCGTGGATTATAATATACTTTTATTTTATTTTTCGTGTGTTTATAAATCAACATATAAGTAAAAAAAAGTTTTCAAAACTCAAAGTTAAAATTAATCATTAACATTATAATCAAACTGAATTGGTGAAATTTGTTAAATGTTATACACATACGAAGATCAAATGAATAATGTTTAAAATATAAATTGCCAGAACAACTGTTTATGAGTTAAGAAAAAAACAACCAAAATTCAATACATTATCATTACGAACAATAATTGTCGCGAAAAACAAACGTTGCTGCTAAAATTCTTTGCATTGTTCAATTTACATTTTACTAGGAAAAATAAATCTCCTTCAGCAGAGTTCGCAAAAAAACTATTATTTTTCTTTTCTCTCTCTTTACAAAGCAACAATATAATAATTTTTACAGACTACATGTGACCATTCATGCATTTTACCCCTACGCATTATGCGATAACATGAACAGAAAGCAGTAGCCGATTGCTAGTTTGCACAGGAGCAGAGGGAGGGTTTGAGCAGACAATCCGGCGGCGCCATAACTACTGACACAGTGAACCTCTGTTAGATGTTTCTACTTAGTGTTCACTGCTTCAGTGGACAGTGACGCCACTAACGTTGAACTTGTATTGTATACTTATGAATTTTGTCTTTCTTCAATATTAATTACATAATTTTTGACAATTAGGGGTAAATTCAATTAAATGTCAACATTTTACAATTACAACGCAAACAATACTTAGAAAATTATACTTAGCTTAAATTTTAGTATTGAAAATTTTAATGTTAATGTTAACATAAACCATTTGAGTTATGATAATTAAATAGCAAAACTAGCGAATATTTTTTTACTATCTATATTTTATAAACGTTGATTCTTTTAATGCTAGCTACATAATTACTTTTAAAATAATGAATTTATTTAATTTCTTTATATCTTATAAAACGGAAAATGATTGTTCTATAGCAACCTAATATTTTAGAAATTATCAGTATTTAAAAATATAAAACGGAGGTGGAATACTGTTGTTGCTAATTTTATCATAAGTCATTTCTCGGCCGTACTCTTCCTCCCTCCAAGATAAAAAACCATAAATATTTTTTGAAGCACTGGTTCGACAAATGTTATCAAACAGCCCCAATTTCTCAATTAGTTAATTTTCTATTTTATAAGCTAGTTTGATATGTATTTTGCCTTTATAAAAATAGAAATGACACCTCTATAAGATACAAATGATGAACTTAAAATTATTTATGACAGATAAATGAGTTTACATATGCAATTAACAAAATCCAGAAAAAAAAATTTCAAAAAAATTATTATTTTAATTCAAAGTGAATTGATAGAGATAAAAAGATTACTTTATATATGATTTATTTTTAATGAAAATAAAATATTTTTCTATAATAGTTATATGGTATACTGAGCCAATATGAACTCCAGGGATCATATATAAAATAATCCTATCCACAAGGGTAGATTTATAATCACAATTTAAAACAAATTTGAGTTTTAATAAAATAATAAACATTTATTTCTAAATATATGAAGAAGCTAATTTATAAAATAAGAGACTAGACGCCTAGTCTATTAAATAGTAAATTTTATTAAACTAATGTTGTATAATTTTTTTATTTATTGAAAAATTTGATTGCTAATAGTTACGATAATAATTATCCTAAGTGCCAGTAATTGGACAAATTATGTTAAGAAAAATGTCTCACCTTTTAACCATTGATAACTCTGATTTTTAAGTGCAAAATATAAAAAAAAAATGTATTTTATATGTATATGAACATTTAAGAAGCCATAGAAATACTAATATTTTTGAAGAAGCGATAAAAATGCTTATATTTTTAAAGAAACCATAGAAATGTACAAATTTAGGAAGCCATAGAATTGCTGATATTTTGAAAGAAGCCATAGAAATGTACAAATTTAGGAAGCCATAGAAATGCTAATATTTTTGAAGAAGCCATAGAAATTTTAATATTTTTAAAAGAAGCCATAACAATGCTTATATTTTTAAAGAAGCCATAGAAATGTACAAATTTAGGAAGCCATAGAAATGCTAATATTTTTGAAAAAGCCATAGAATTGCTGATATTTTTAAAGAAGCCATAGAAATGTTTATATTATTTAAAAAATGCATAAAAACACTAAAGTTTAAAATACAGAAATCATTAAAATGCATAGATAAAATGTGTATTAATTTTTGAAATATTATATTACAATGAAATTATGTAGGAAGTCATATTAATATGAATTTATTAATAATGTTTCAGAATTTCCCTATACTATTTTATAAAACTAAAATTGAGGGTTTTCATTCTTCGATTTTTTTAATATGATAGATTTAACTAGATCGAAATTGGATGTTTTAATATATTTATTATTAAAATTAGATCACTAAGTTGAACAAACTTAAAAAAACGTATATTATGTTAAATAGAATAATAAAAATAAAATAATTGATTAAGATATAAATGAAAAAAATAGTGATATAAACAATATTTAAAGATTTTCTTGTAAATTTACTATTGATAATAATTATATAAGTTCTTAACCACATATCAATTCAGACAATGTCATTTTTTAAATCCCCATAAAATTACTTATTTAATGATGTCAAATTCAAGCTTGTAAGTTGAACCAAATAGATTATGGTAAAAATTTCAACTTTTTTTATTGTTAACTTTCATAAAAATCAACTTTAAAAGATCTAAAAAACAATATTTAAACATGATATTCTGGATTAAAATTTTTCATGGATGATGGATGATGGATGATTTTAAAAATTAAAATCAATAATAAAAAATATTTTTTTTTTTAGTTATTTATTTCATGTGTTGTAATAATTACACATAAAATATTATTAATTATCATCTGCATTTTAATAATGAGTAGTATTCTTAATAACAACTAACAGTGGTAGAAAAAGTCTCATTATAGATTTGAAATTAGTTTAAATATTTGGTTAATCAAGTGTTTCTTCCTCTAATGAAAATTCCACGTAGAACAATGATTGTGAAAATAATAAAAATTTTAAACTTATTAAAAAATGTCGTAATAATAAAAATTCCATAAATTATTTTAAGACATATAAGAAATAGCCCTTAAAAATAATACTATTTTTAATATTAATTAATAAACTACTTTATATTTCATTTATTTATAATCCGGTTAACATAACTCACCCTCAATTTTTTGATAATGTTTATTTATTATTGTAATACGTTTTGGTGTACATTCAATCAACAAATAATAAACCTGTTTTATTAACGTAAATAACATCTCTAGGCTATATTATGTAGTTGTTTATGTCTTCAAATTTTCATAACAGTATACAGGATGATCTTTTTATCATAACCCACTCAATTACTTAAATTTTAAATTTTCATGTTATTATATGAGTATAATTACGAGGCACTATAAATAAAGGTAGCTATTTAGTTTTTTATGATATTATTGTCACAGATATGGTGCAGTTATTGTCTATTATGACTATCAACATATATGTTTTTTGTATTGCCAGATGGTGTAATTATAAATGTTAACTCACAACAGTGAGCTTTACAACCACACTTTAAGCATATCTGTTGATAAAGTCATAATTGACAATGAACACTTCGTATAAGCTATAGCGACGTCATAAAAAAAATAGTTACCTAATTTTTAATCCCTCGTATATTATCTAAAAAATTGAAACTATTATACATAATAAACAAATGTAGTATGTTAAAAATTCAAATGTCATTTAATATTAAAATAAAACCCCAAAAATTTTTTTTATATCAAAATATGTGTTCTCATTTGAAAAAACAAAGTTGACAAAGTTTGAAATAGTATAACATTAGCTATTATAATATATGTTGTATATTTTAATAATATAACTAATGTTTAGCAACACAGCTATATATTATTCAAGAAAATTATGTAACTAAAGGTATACAAAAAAAAATTAAACGTTAAAATTATTTTTATTCTGTGAATAATTGAGTGTGTTATGATAAAAAAAAATTACTCTTTATGAATCCTTATCATCAAAGTTTTTCCTATGTAAAATTTTACTATAATAAAAAATTTGAGGTAATATTAGTGTGTATAATGCTTATATATTGTGGTCCATAATTTCTGTAGAGGTCAATAATCATGTTATTTAACAGATATATAGCCCACTCAAGGACGTCAATAATCGAATGACCAGTAATGATTTCACTCTTACTCACCCACGCGACCAAGTGACCAGAGTAACAGTCGCATCGTTGCACAGGCCAACGGCTGGGTCATCGTCGTGGTACACACTGTCATTGCGAGTTTAGAGAAAGGTACGTCTACTGTGTATACGATCGTGATGGGCGAAAGTGGTTGTGTGTATTATATTCCTATGCTCTTTTTTTATGAAAAATTACCGTGAATCGTGGGGCAGTTACGATTACAATCGTAACAAACAGTAACTAATAAATGTTTTTTTTGGTGGGAAAGGTGAGGCATAGTATAACATAGCTATACAAAAAATGTTAGGTATTTGGATATATATAACTATTGAGTAACCTGATGGGTATCTTTCTTAAAAATTTAACAATTTAAAAATGAATTCTCAAATTATTGATTTTGTAAGCGGAAATTACCAGATGATAACCCTTATGTAAATAAATATTATAATTTTTTGTTGTTTTTTAAAAAAGCAATGGCAATATCAAATATGTTTGATCTTCTGCCATTACATAAACTAATAATTTTAATAGTATTTTAGACATTCGATATTATTAAATTACTTATGTAACTACTGGTACAGGTTAGTAATTAATGGTACCAATAAAAAATAAATTAAACTCAATTACAAAAAAATGACATTTTATTTTACATTTTTACTATAACAATATTTTTCTTATAATATATATATAAGTCAGTTTAATTTCATGACGATAATTTACATAAATGTTTAAATTGAGCTGAGAAACCTATCTTTTTTAATAAAATAATATAGTTTACAAAACAAATTGCAATGAAACCATGACAATTTGTTTAAGGAAGTAAAGCGAGGGAAAGGAGTATATTTAGGGAAAAGGATTATCCGCTTCGTGGATGTTCAGGCCGTAGAAAAGTAACAATCAACAGTTTTCAGCGACCAGTGAAGCTTTGGATTCTTGTGAATGTAAAATTCTAGTATGATCCGCTGGAGCTAGGGGCACCATAGCTTGCTGATGGGCTAGCACTTGGGGATCCGTAGCTTGAGGATAATCCAGCACTTGGAGATCCGTAGCTGGCTGATGGACCAGTAAGGTCGCCGCTATATCCACCAGCACCACTGGAAGCGTAGTTGGCACCAGAGCTAGCTGGATATCCAGATTCCTTTTGTGCCTTATATTTAATGAAGTATACTTCTGGTTTAGATGGAGCAGTTGGTGCTGCAGTTGGAATGGTGATTTGTGGTTGTTCTTCTGGTTTTTTAACTAATACGTAGATCAAAGTCTTTTCAGAATCTTGTGGGATGACTGGGATATGTGGTACAGTTGGGGTTGGTGGAGTTGGCGCTTTGATGAAGATTATTTTGTAATGTTTTTGTGGTGGAGCGATAGATTGAGTTGGTTGAGGAGCAATGTACTCTTGTTCTGGAGGTGGGACATGGACGTAGATGTGCTTTTGTACGATTGGAGCTACTGGAGCGTAGTTATATCCACTAGAGTAACCAGAGCTACCACCACTAGAATAGCTAGAGCTACCACCGCTTGA